GATATAAATTAAAATGTTAAAATCAAATCTGATATTGTTTTACCTTTTATTTGGTGTGTGGAAGGTGTGCGGAAGAGGGGGTAGTCTTATACAGCGAGTATATAACAAACTCTGTATTTTGAGTGGAAATGTTAGGGGGTCGTCTTATACGCCCAGTTGTCTTATACGCCGGCAAATACGGTACATTACACTGTACTATTCTACACTATAAATGTAATATAAAAGCCATTTATGTTATTACTAGAGGCCCAGTGCACAAAATTCATGCACTTGGGGGGGGTCCCTCAGCCTGGCCTGTGCCCTCTCACAGTCCGGGAGCACTCGGGGGATATCTGCTGCGCCCGTGAGCCCGGCTCAGGGCTTCTGGCTGAGTGGCACTCCCCTTGTGGAGCACACTGGCCACCAGGGGGCAGCTCCTGCATTAAGCATCTGCCCCATGATGGTCAGTGTGTGTCATAGTGACCGGTCATTCTGCTATATGGTCGATTTGCATATTAGCATTTTATTATATAAGATTCCAGCTGTCTCATTCTCAGGCTGATTTGAGGGTTTCTCTATTTTTTTTTAAATGTTTCCTGGTTTGCCTCTATTCTCCCGGGTTGCTATCTAGTTTAAATAATTTATTTTCTTTTATTTGTTATGTTTTGCCCCTGTGTAAAGCATGACAGTGGGAAACATGAGAAAGGACAGTTACAAGAGATTGAGGTTGGGAGGGGTCCTGCTGCAGGCCCAGCCAGGAGTCTGCATGTCCGGGTTGGGTGAAATAGCCGACACACTAGCATGACTCTGTATTGACTGCTTATATTTGGGTAACTCAGGCTGCTCATGCAGACTCTCCCCCCCCGCCCCCGCCCTTACTTGTTTGGTTGGTGATGGCAGAATGGCTCTGGGCCCATCTCCGGCCTCTGCAGGCCAGGGCTGGGAGGCCAGAGAGGACTGCACTTTGCTGCCTCATTTCCCCCGAAACACCTGTGGGGAAGATCTTGAGGGTGTGAGCACCAGCTGCCAGGGGTCTTGACGTTGCCACCGGCTCTTCAGGCTAAACACTGAGGCCCCCAAATGACCAGATGCTTTACTGACACAGCATAGGATTCTGAGGCCCTCCCTGTTTTCCCGAGTTTTTACTCCCATGCCAACCATGGTCACACTCTTGTAGTTGTGCCAGAAAAGCACAGGCCTCCGCATAGTCTGCCTCCAGGTACCACATCTACAATGTGGATGAGGAGAACCCTGGCTTCCAGCAGCCCCGCGCCGTCTTCTACGCGGCCCAGATCCTCAGCGGCCTGGAGCACCTGCACCAGAGGGGCATCGTCTACCGAGACCTCAAGCCTGAGAATGTGCTGCTGGATGACGAAGGTGAGGCAGCCTCCCCGCCCGGCCTCCTCTCCCGGCCTCCCCTTGCCCAGCTGGACGTTGTGGTCCAATGGATCATCTGTAGGGGCCATGGGCTGGTTTTGACAAATGCTTGTCAGAGCTTTAAGTGGCACCAATGCACTTCTTAAGTTGGTTTACTGTTCCTTTAGCTATTTTGCAACAGGATGGCATTGTATCCCAAATGGAGTTTTTGGATGGACTTTGATGAAATTTGGTGCATAATGCGGCACCTAGAGTTCCAGGGAGCTAAGCCAGGGTGTCTATAGTGTGTGGAACTGTTGGTAAATAGTTCATATTTTATGGCCAAATTCTCACTCTGTCACTCTTTTCTTTCTGCCTTCTCTGTCAAATTGGGATTCTTATCAGAAAATAAACATAGAGATTTAGGCTTCCTTTTTATCCCTTTAGAGTTACCTCCCTTTCTGTCACCAAGTCACACAAACGCGTGGGCATTCTCAAAGGCCGTTGCTGCAGAGCTTGGGGAAGAGAAGGCAGAGGAGGAAACTGAACTTGGGTGGATTATGCTCCGAATTCAGGTTGTAGGTGCTGATGGGACCCCTCAGTTCCTCTGTAGTCTGACTGGGGCAGAGGCACCCGGGTGCTGAGGCCCCATGCCACTCCCCTGGAGTGTGCACGTGAGTGTGTGAGTGTGCATGTGTGAGAATGCATGTGTGTGTGTCTGCACATGTTCACAAGTGTGAGCAGGTGTGTTTGCATGTACATCTATGTGTGCACATGTGCATGAGGATTTGTGTGTGTGTGTGCACGTGCGTGTGTGCAAGGGCTGGCTCTTGGCTCCTGTGGGCTCCAGGAACACCAGATGCCTTTGTTCTGTGGAGCCACATATGACCTCAGTCCATGTTTGCTTTTCAGGGAATATCCGAATTTCTGACCTTGGGCTGGCCGTGGAGCTGAAGGAAGGGCAAACCAAGACCAAGGGCTATGCAGGGACCCCAGGTAAGGGCCTGAGAGCAAGGATGGGAGCATCGTCTCTCAAGAGGAGGGGTGAAGCCCTGGGGGTCCCCATGGCCTGGGGTAGGTGACATGGTGAGGGCTCGGGGTTGGTAGGGGAGCGGCCCCCTGATCCCCAGAGCAAATAGTAAAACCAGAAGGACTGGCTAGTGGGCCTGCACAGCTGCAGCAGGAGCCGCACCCACTGCAGGAATGAGCCCTCCCCCCAGAAAAACCATAATTGGTTTTAACATGCTGTACCCACTGTTATGAAAGCTTCCACCTTTGATGACTTTCTTGTTTGTGTCACAGAGTCCTCCCAATCCTGGGGGTTTGGGCTTTTTTGGTGTTTGTACCTGTCACCAGTGTCTGTCCTCATCTGTGGCTTTATTTAAAAAAATTAGATCCTCAGCCCAAATCTATGAAGTTCCACTCCTGGCATGAGCCTGTTAGTGGAAACACTACTTACCCATTTCAGGGTGACTCAGATCATTAGGAGGAAGCCCAGAAAACTCCGGAGCCAGGATTTGAAGTAGTTTGACCTCAAGGTTATAGCCTGACCTTGTTTGCGCCGAGTGCGAGGGCTCTGCCAGCCACCAGAGGGCCCCGTAGGCTTTTCTGTGGCCACTGAGCTACAGCTGTACTTTGAACGGAGGGATGAAGCTTTCCAGGTGGGTGGCTCTCCTGACCAGTGCATGCAAATATGGCTCTGAGCATTTGGGCTCGGGTGAAGGATGTAACCCTCAAACAGCTGCAGCAGAGGCTGAAGTTAGGGTAACTTAAAAGGCTGGGGCCTTCAGCAAAGCCACAGGGGGCTGCCTTCTGGATCCTTCTTCTTCAGCCCGTCTGCACGAACCCTAGGCTCCCCAACAAGGGCCAGAGCCCCTGAGCCTCTGCAATTGACCATGAACAGGGTGCTCACCTTGGCTAGTGCCGTGTCTGCCCAGCGGGATACTCAGAAGAGATATAAGCCATGCTCTCTGTCCCCAGTGAGTTCCCAGCTGGGAGGGGGAGATGAGTCAATATGTGGAGGAATTAGTGACTAGGTAGTATTCATTCATTAATTAATTCATTCATTCACACAACAGATATTTGTTGGCTGTTTGCCCAGGCGTCACGTAAGACCCCAAGGATTAAAAAGGATGCATCATTTGGCACTGAGTTGGGTGGAACAGACTAGAGGTGCCACTGATGATGATCGCATCCCTGTGGTCTGATTGGTCCGTCTCTCGTGCCCCATTTTAATCTGGAAGTTGTGATTGGTTGAACATACCTTTTTCACAAAGTCTGAGCAGTCTGGACTATAATGTAATTCCTCGAAAAGCGGAACTTATAAAGGTGCATTCAGGACCAGGAGGTTCTTTGGAATTTGACTCCTGTCACCTCTTCGGAGAGAAACGATTCTGCAGTCACACCGGCTTGGCTGGTGTTGCCCAGCACATCTCCCTTTTAGAAAGTTACCATGAGCACGTGTATACTGAAGGGCCAGGAAGGATAAAAGCTAAATGGACACAATTAGCCTTGCTGACATCAGAATCTCTGAAGTCGTGTAAGCACAGAAGCCTGTGCCCAGCTTATAACACCTGTCCCTGGGTCGCAGAAACTGGCCTGCTTACGTTTCACACATGCTGGTCTGGCCTCTACACAGGTGGCTGTTAGGGAGTGGAGATCCAAATCTTGTTGACCTTCGACATGTGCAGCTCAGCACATGGTCCTAATACCCAAATATGGCACAGACCTGGCATGGGAACAGACGAGGTAATGGTGGGCATCTGACCTGATCCTGGAAGCTGGACTAAGCCAGACACAGGCACCTGACAAATTCTTACTTGCTTTGCTGAACTTGGCATCTTCTATCTGAGACAGAGGCATTAGGCATGTGATTAGGAGCATTTAACAGTCAGAAAGCACAGGACTTAGGCACACGGACTCAGCACTGGGCTCCATAGGTGGCCTCCAGGCACGAAGACCATCTATCTCTGTGACTTTGGAGAACTTGCCTACACTTCCTCACCCATAAAAGTGTCATAATGATCCACTATGGGTAATATTAGAAGTGAGAAGACAATGGGAAAATGTCCTAAAAATTAGAGAAAATGATTTCCCACCTAGAATTTTATATCTAGACCAACTATCAGTTAACTATTAAGGGGCAATAAAGGCAATGAAGTTTTTCAAAAACTTCAGCACCCTTCTTCAAACTATTTGACCAAAATAAGGAAGTCAGCGGAAAAGTGGCATATCGTGGAAGGAGGATACATAGAGAGAGAGAGAGACAAAAGTTTTCAGGATTTCAGGGAGATTCTAGGCTGCTGGCTGCACACGAGAATCCATATTAGAGCAGGTTAGAAGGTTCCAGAAGACTTTTTGATGAGGATGAAATTGATAAAATGTTTAATATATCAGAACATGACAGGTATTGGAGAATTGTTGGGGAATTTTGGGTCAAATTAATAAAAACATAGAGAAAGAACTAGCCAATGAAAGAAAAGATAAGATAATCTGGGAAAACCAATAAAAACTTGTCAGAAAGGAAATATAACTGCGGCCTAGTTTTTGGTTCAGTGGGGAATAGTTGAGCTGAGTGCTGACCAGCTAGATGATGTATCAGGAGAGGGAAGAAGAAGTGTGTGCATGGTGGTGGGAGGAAGAAAGACAGACCCTTAACTTCCAAAATGAGAAGTCAATTGAGGAGGCCCCCATGGGAACTACAAAACCAGCAATATAAGCTTGTTATTTAGAGGTATGGATATTAATTCCAAAATAACCACCTACAAGGATACTGAGATGGGGCTGAGGTGGAGGAGGAAGGGTCATGCCCTGTAGAACTAGCTAATTCTTGTTGTGCCTGAATAATTTTGATACAAATGAAAATTAAGTTATTGAAAGACTATTAGGTGGAGTAATAGTAGGTTTAACTACCATACCAAAGGATAATGTAGTGGTTCCAAGCTCAGATGTCTGAGTTTGAATCATTCTCTGTTACCTATTATCTGTTTTATTGTGAGCAAGTTAGTTCCCTAATAATAAAGGAGAGTAGTGGCACTTACCTCAGTGTTAGGAGGATTAAATGAGATCGCTTTGTATTTTCACCCGCCACACAGTACGCATGGAATGGGGGTCAGCTAGGATAAGTGCTACTAAAGTGTGGTGATATATGGACCCACATCAGTCAAGAACAAGGCCTCTTGAGTCCTGAGAGCCTGGCCATGGTGAGCACCCCTCAGCTTCAGCCTCAAGTGTGGCTCCTGGGACAATACCCCTCCTTCTTTGAAATGTCTTGGCTTAAATCTGTCCTTTTGTGGGCTTTTAGGAAGTATCTTGGTGCCTGTCTCTGCAACCCCCATGACCACACACAGAGATAGCCCCTGAAGTCACACACTCGTGCCTGAGAGGCAGGAACCACGGCTCTGTCCATCCTGGTAGATCTAAGGGGAGATGAGGCTTCATGTGTATAGAGCAGTGGTTTCAACCAGAGGCAATTTGTTCCTAGGAGACACTCGGCAATGTCTGGAGACATTTTTGGTTGTCACAACTGGGGAGGGCATGCTAAATAGTGGATAGGGTCCAGGGATGCTCATCAACACCCCACAGTGCACAGGGCAGCCCCAACTCAGAGGATTTCCTCTCCAGATGTCACCAGGTGCACATGGAAGCATCAGCTCTGTGCTCACCACTGGCTCTGTGCAGCTGCGTCTCTGAGTCCACTCTGTGCTCTTGCCTGGCAGGTTTCATGGCCCCAGAACTCTTGCGGGGTGAGGAGTATGACTTTTCTGTGGATTACTTTGCCCTGGGGGTCACGCTGTATGAGATGATTGCGGCCAGAGGACCCTTCCGAGCCCGGGGAGAGAAGGTAGGAGGTGGCCTAGCCATGCCCCCTGCGGCTGTCCTGGGGTTGACTTCCCTTGTTGGGTGTGTGTCATAGGAGTAGGTGTTGCTGCAGCTGACCTGGTGGGGAGAGCTGCTTAAATCCTGAGCATGAGGCTTCTCATAGAAGGTCCTTCATGGGCAGAAGAGAGGAGACACAGTGACTCCATCTCATGTAGCTCATGACACTGGGGAGCATTTTAGGACGAGAGGTGCCTGAGCTTTCTCAAGCCCACCCCTGTGAGCAGCACGCAGCGCCCCTCCCCTTGAGCCAGCCTGGTTCCTTTGACGGCCTTTGTCCTCTTCCCTGCAGATGAATACTAAGAGCCCCCTCCCACGATGCTAAGAAACCACAGGACCTGCTTCAGGTGCAGCACAGCAGCTTTTTTAAATGTCTTGGAGGAAAGTGGACATCCCATGCTGTGCCCTGATCCCTGGCCTCCCACACTCCTTAATCCTTTCCTGTGTGGTCTGCCCCAGGCATCTCCATAAACCGGGAATGTGGAGGCTGGGTGAGAAAGGTGGCTGGTGCGGGGAGGGGCTGGTGTGAATGGCAGTCTTTAGACATGGCACCGCACCCACCCACCTCAGTCTGTATGGAGGTCATGCCTTTTCTTCTGCCTCGATCTCCTAGAGTGTCCGCCCCAGCAGTCTGCTGTGTCCCCCATCTTCTAAGAGCAGAGAGTGCTCCCACGACTAACACAACAGTCACTCTGTCTCTGCAACTCCACCTTGACCTCTAGTCACCAGTTCTCTCTCCTGACTTCCAACAGCTTGGAAGAGTAGAGTAAGACCAATGATGGGGCCACAATAGGAGCTCCCATCTCAGAGCTCTCGCTGACCCACAGCCCCAGCCACACTCCCTATTTTCTGTGTGTTAATAAGCATGATGGGCCTTTATGAGATGCCCAAAGTGAACCAACCGTGGTCCTTCGGTATCGTGGAACCTGTCTCCATAGTGACATGAAGGAAGGAACCTAAATACACCCATAACATGAATGCGCTTCAAACTTGTTAATTAAGCGATGTCATTTCTAGGAAATTTTAGGAAAGGCATATCTATTCTATTGAGAGAGAAAATGGGTCTGTGTTTGCCTGAGGTCAAGGTGAAGGTGGGCTGCAGAGGGCACAGGGGAATTTTGGGATGATGGTGATGATGGAGTATCCAGCTATTGATCAAAGCCCTTCACTCGGGTCCCTGAAGATGGAGCTTTGTGGTATGTGTATTATACCCAATAAAGCAGATTCAAAACAAAGTGGAATGATACCCTCTCAGGTTTCTATCCACTTAGAAGACTTCTCTACCAGCTCTATGAAGTTGACTTGTTTATTGTCATTCTTTTTTTTCTCCAGTAGCGAATGAGTGATTGATTATATATAATGTGCCCACCAGAGCTCCTTAAACTATACTGCATCTCAACTTTGACCCAGTACTCTTAGGGTTCCACTCCTTTCACTGGAGATATTGAGCCATTCTATGCTGGGAAGGAGGGTGCACTCAGGTGTTCCCGTCTCCTCTGCCTCTGTGTGAAGGAGGGGCCAGCTTCTTTCTGAGAGGAGTGCTAGCCCTGCTCAGACACCAACAGGGGCTGTGCAGTCTCCTGGAGCCTGAGGGGCCAGCTCTGATGATGTTGGTGGGTTTCGCAGGGGTTTAATGTGATGTGCGTCCCACCATGCAGGTGGAGAACAAGGAGCTCAAGCAGAGGATCCTCTCGGAGGCAGTCAAGTACACTGACAAGTTCAGCCAGGCCAGCAAGGACTTCTGTGAGGCACTGCTGGAGAAGGACCCGGAGAAGCGCCTGGGGTTTAGAGATGGGACTTGTGATGGGCTCCGAGTCAACCCCCTCTTTAAAGACATTAATTGGAGACAGCTCGAGGCAGGTACTGTTGGCATGCCTTTGGATCTGGGTGGGGGGACAAAGGGGCGGGCCTATTAGGTGACTCTTGCTTACCCGACCCATCCTGTAGTCATCATCTAGGCTTAGCTCAATGTCAGCAGAGCAGGGACACCTGGTTGATGCTCTTCCCATAGCTACCCTCCAGCCCCCTAGGAAAACTACCACCCTCTAGTACTCTATTCATCCCCCATGCACCCAGGAATATGTGTTCATGGATTAGACCTTTTAGGACACCTGCTGGAGTTTGGAAAAGGTTGAATGTAATATGTAGGGAATATGCTGGCTGACCTTTGAATGTAAACAGTCTGCTGTTTTACATTTCCATACCCTGTTCTTTCATGGAACCCATGATCCACATCAAGGCAGGATTGCTCAATCTGTTTGTTTGGGAGAAATTCATTCCTTCAACCAGCATTTGTTATCAAGTGTCACGTGAAGGCTCCTGTGTGTGTGTGTGTGTGTGTGTGTGTGTGCATGTATGTGTCTCTGTGTGTGCACGTATGTGTGCATGTGTGTGCCTGTGTGCCTATGTCTGCAAGAGAAAAGTGTAGGGCACAATCACAAGCCCAGAATTTACAACCAGGGTATTTGAACATGTGACTAGGTGGCAGGAGCCCCAGAACAGTGAGTAGTCACAACATTCCTTTTGCAGGAAAGGGTCAGAGCAGAGGTGGGTCCTGGCTGAAGGGGGCTCGCCAGGATGGGGTGAGGGCACACAGCTCTGAGCGATTAGAACCTGGAGTAGTTGAGCCAGGGTTAGTCCTGAGGTCACTGCAATGGTCTGGCAGCCCATCCATGAGCTGAAAGGAGGGAGGGGGTGATAGGTGAGAGGGAGGCAGGGTCAGACCTGGGCGACTGAAGTTCTGTGTCTGGTGATTGGAGAACCGCCTCCTGAGCAGGGTAGAGAGAAAGCTGGCTTTGGAAGGATGAGAAACTCAGCTCTGAGCATGTTGGATTCCAGGTGTCTGACCTGCATACGGTGGTGCCCAGGGGAGGCTGGCTTGAGGGTATGAATATGGGGTCTGCAGTGAGGAGGGGTAAGGCAGCATGAGGAGAGGAGACTATGTTGGGCAAGAACACACTGTCCTTCATGTCGGGGCTCTGTGAGGGACGCCCAGGATACTCTCAGGCGTGCTGATTTCTTTGTTAGCAGCGCAGACACCCCTCTAGGAAGGGCAGCACCCAGGCTATGGCTCTGCTTCCTGAGCCATTGCACATCTGTGTTTTCTGTCTTCCGACAGGGATGCTGATCCCCCCCTTCATCCCAGACTCCAGAACTGTCTATGCCAAGAACATCCAAGACGTAGGGGCCTTTTCCACAGTCAAAGGTGTGGTCTTTGAAAAAGCAGATACAGAGTTCTTCCAGGAATTTGCCACCGGCAACTGCTCCATTCCCTGGCAGGAGGAGATGATTGAGACGGGCATCTTTGGGGAGCTGAACGTGTGGCGTGCTGATGGGCAGATGCCCGATGACATGAAGGGGATCACCGTGGAGGAGGCTGCTCCCTCCTCCAAGTCAGGAATGTGTCTGGTTTCCTAGACGTGGAGGAAAAGGGACCTCCCTCCGCAGCTGGCAGGGCTGAATAGGCCTTTGTGAGACAGTGGAGCTCTCGCGTGGTGATAGGCAGCTCCCACCTGTGTGGCCGAGCTGCTCACAGCAGGGCAGAAGGAGGCACAGAGCCACTAGACCCCCAGGCCCAGGGTCAGGAGCTCCAGCTTGTAAATAGTCCACTTCTTTTGCCCCATTTCACTCATAAAAGACACAACCATGGCTCCTGGACAGAGTGCAGCAACAATACAGAACTGTCCAGGCTCCCGTATGGACCTGCAAGTTGGTGGCGGTGTTGAGCAGCTGGGCAGATGGCTGCTCAGACGAGAGGATGCTCAGTTTGGGTTTCCTGGCACTTTAACTGCAACTTCCAAGAGCCCCATCCTCAGTGGAGGCCTTCTCTTGGTTGGTCCAGGGGGTGGCAATCCATAGCCCTTGGGCTTCAGGGCACCGTGAGAGAGGCCTGGACTCTCCCCCTTCACACCCAGCTCCTGTTCCTCCTGCCACCTGGTGGCTTGCAGGGCCCTGGGACGTGCCCTCAGCACCCCCTGACCCACAGGAAAGGAGTGGATCTTGACAATCAATGGCTTTGGAGGGTTGCTGGCCAAAACTAGGACCTAACTACCTCCTTTTTGCTCTAGAGCCTGTGTAGGAGGGATGACCCAAGCCCTAAGCAGGTGTGTGTGGTACAGATGATTGCTAGGTGTAGACTCTCTAGTTCTGTGGAGGCATTTCAAGTGTGTTCCTTAGAGTTACCTTCTGCACATGAAGACTTTACAGCACCCTGGGACTGGTGAAATAAACCTTACCAGAACTGTCCTTCTCTCCTGACTGTGGTGTGGTCTTGTAGAGTCATAGGATGCTCTGGATGGGCCTTGGATAGGCATCGAGTACTTTCTGGTCTGTGATCTGAAATGACCACCTGGTACATTTCCCTGGGCAAGACCAAGATGAGGGATCCAGGGGTGGAGGGATGCTAAGCTGTTGGTAGGACAAATCACCATACCCTTCCCTAAGTCTGGTTTGTTTTCTAGACTAGTACATTCGGATAAGGTAATGACTATAAATTTCATTTCACTACATTCTGGTGCAAGAAAAGACCCATTTATGATTTTTCTGAAGACATTTATTCTGCACTAGGTACCCATGGCCCTGAAGGGTGATTTTAGCAGCCTCAGTGGTGGGGGTGGAGGCCTGACCCTTGCCCCCTCTGGCCACCATCCCCACCTGCCAGTCTGGGGCCCATGGTGCCTGATGGTGGAGACCCTTCTCTTTTTGCACCAGATTCACCAGCGAGGACCTTTCTGCCTTTATCTTATGGTTAGATGTAACACAGCTGGTTACATTTGAACTTCAGATAAATAAGTAATTCTGTAAGTGTATGTCTCAAATTATTGCATAAGACATACACTGAAACATTGTTCATTGATTTTTGGCTAAATCTGGCATGCCCGTGACTTAACCTATGAACAAGTAGTTATTCCATTGAACTCACAGGTCTGTTGGGTTATAATCACAAAAGCAACTTATTTGTGACTTTAGCTGTGTCTCTGAGTCTGTCAGGCCTGTTCTTATCTCTTCCCCACCCCCACAAACTCAGGTTGGCCCCATGTATTCACACATAGGTAATCAAAAATCCTGTAGTCACTTTATTTTTAAGAAACTTTAAGCCCAGCTGGCGTGGCTCAGTGGTTGAGCATCAACCTGTGAATCATGGTTTGATTCCCAGTCAGGGCACATGCCTGGGTGCTGGCTCAATCCCCAGTGTGGGGCATGCAGGAGGCAGCTGATCAATGATTCTTTCTCATCATTGATGTTTCTCTCTCTCTCTCTCTCTCTCTCTCTCTCTCTCTCTCTCTCTCTCCCTCTCCCTTCCTCTCTGAAATCAATAAAAACATATTTAAAAACACACACGTTTAAAATAAAATTTCACAGAGAAAACGAATTCTGGATGCTCAGTCAATAACCACACTGTGACACCTGAAACACCCACAGCTGCAAGAACCAAGACCTGACTGGCACCCCTCCCAGCCCCGTGCCCCTCCCTGCTGCATCCCTGCCCAGAGGTGACCATGCTTCTGCCTGCAGCCGCTTTAAGTAGCAGCAGACTCAAGGCATCACATTGAGTGCCCTGTCCATCTGTGCGACAATTGAGACTCCAGTTACTTCAAACTCCTTTCCTGGCTGGGTAAAGGGACATTCCCGCCCTCCCCGCTGAGCTCTCCTGCCCTCCACTGTCAGCCTCAGCTTCTGGCTCCGGGGGTGACCCTGGCGAGGGGGGAAGACGCTCAGGGCGGTTCTGAGCTGCTGGGCAGGTGCTTACAGCCCTCTTCCTTCTGGGGCTTCTTCATGGGTCTTTGGGGACCTCCACTCGGGCGTCTCTCAGGTACAGTCCCCCCGCCAGACACACTGTGTGATGTCATCACTCCCGCCGTCTCCCCTGCTCACCTGAGTCCAGGGCACCTGCTGTCCTGCTTGGGCTATGGGGCTGCCTGCTGCCCCCAACACAGCAGCACCTCACCTTGCTCCTCCCCAAGCACTGCTGGCCTTTAGCTGTGTCTCTGAGCATCAACCTGTGAACCATTAAGCACATCTTGGGGGCCCGGGGACCCCTGAGGTGGAGTCCTCTGCAGAGAAGCCTTCGTCTCGGACCGCTTTTATGCTGCACGCCGTGAGCCAGCTCAGGATTCTCAGAAACCAGGGTGGCTGGTTGTAGACATCTGAGCTCGGCTGTCTACATGCCCTGCCGAAAGCCTGACAAGCAACACCCCACGTTTACCATCCTGTGTGTGGGAGGGGCATGTTTAGACATAAGTTGTGGTGAAAACGTCACCACGGTATTTCCTTAGCAGCCCAATCCCTGAGAGGGTGGTCAGGGCGTCCAGGGGCCCCGGAGAGGCTGCCATCACAAGAGCTTCAGGGAGACTTTCTATTTGTAAAAACAAAAAACACAATTTCTATTCAGGTGGGGAAGGGTAACAATAAAAGTTAACAAAAGAGGACAAACTGGCCAGGTGGCACAGTTGATTGGAGCGTCATCCCGTATACCACAAGGTTGTGGGTTCGATTCCTGGTCAGGGCACATATCCAGGCTGCAGGTTGGATCCCCAGTTGGAGTTTGTACGGCAGCAACTGGTCAATGTGTCTCTCTCACATCGAAGTTTCTCTCTCTTCCTTCTTCTCTCTCTAAAATCAATAAAAACATACCCTCTGGTGAGGTTTTAAAAAAAAAGAGGAACAAACTCTCTAGATTGTGAGATGAATACTAGTTGCATTCTTTTCTTCAAAATCACATATACACACATGCACACACACATATGCACATGCACACACACATACAAAACATACAAACAACCATATACACATACACACATACATATACATACATACACATGTGCACACACACTTTGCCTTCATTTTCATCTCTCTGTGGCTGCAAGATTTTAAAATTGCTCTCCAAGTCTCTGTTCATCAGACTTTGAATTCCAGTGTATCTGATTTGCACACTTCGATCACATATACACACATATGCACACACGTATACACACATATGCACACACATATGCACACATGCAAAACATACAAACAACCATGTACACATACACACATACATATACATACATACACATGTGCACACACACTTTGCCTTCATTTTCATCTCTCTGTGGCTGCAAGATTTTAAAATTGCTCTCCAAGTCTCTGTTCATCAGACTTTGAATTCTAGTGTATCTGATTTGCACACTTCTACTTTGTTCTTTATCGTGGCAAGTCTTGTGTGGCTTTATTCTGCTATTCACAGAAGCTAGCCAGTCCCTACTGTTTATTCCTATAAACCCCCTTTTCCAAACCCGAGTCATGCAGTTGTTTGAGTGGAGCTGTGGCCTGTGAGAGACAGAGCCACCTTAGAAAGAGGCCACCCCCATCCACAGGGCAGGCCCAGGGCTTTATTGGGGTGAATCCAGTGTGATACGGGGTGGTATGTGATCAACACAATGGCTAACAAAAACCAGGAGAGGTTGTAGTTAATGTGCAACAACTGGAAGTCTTTGGGTGCCAAGCATCATATGAGATACCACGGAGAAACACCGACGTGCTCTGTCTCACTGGTTCCTGTTTGCCTCCTGGTCTCCTCCGTTGGACTGTAAGCTGCTCCAGGTGAGAGACCTGTCCTGGGCTTCTCCCACACCTGCTGTGCCCACATCTGTGCCCCTTGCTCCATAACGCCTGCCCCACTGGGGGAGCAGACATTTCCTCTAAAGCTTTGAATCACTTGGCACTTGTAAGTTAGATTAAATCTCTTTTCTGTTCTGCCCCACCACCTGTTTACCCACGTGGCACTGTGTCAGAGGAGCGCTGCTGACACCAACAACTCCAACAAGAACCAGAATCTATAACCTAACACCCCAAATGTCCAGGATATGTTGGACAGTTGCTGGTCATACCAAGAGCCAGGAACACCCCAACTGGAATGAGGAGACACAATAAACATTGACATTCCTGTGTCAACGGCGGAATGACACAGATGCTGGGATTCTGTGTCAAGGGTTTTAAAGCAGAATCATAAAAAAAATGCGTCAAGGAGAAGTTACAAAAAGCTTGAAGGAAATAAAAATGCAAGATCTCAGGAAAGAGACAGGACAATGTGAGGGCGGGCACAGTCTGAGTGGGAGAGGCTATTCCACTGCTGTCTGGGTGGCGTGGGCAAGACACGGAGGAGACATGTTCGGCTCTCCCCCAAAGTCTGCACTGTCCCCTTCTTGGCTGGTCCTCAGGGTGGCCGTGGGGACACCCCAAGTGGGTGCTCCCAAGGGCCTGACCAGGGTGACTTGGGAGACTGCTCTTTGGACATTCGGGGTCCTATATGATCACCCAAGCACGGGTTACACACCCCAAACTTCTCATTTACTCCTTCATTGGGTTATTTACTATATTCTCATAGCTAGTTTATTTTTTCTTGTTTACTGTCTTTGTAGATTTGCTTACCTAACATGAGTTTTGTAGATATAATTACCTACCATGACCTGAGCCTTAGAACGGCTGAGCGCTGGGGAGAATCTGTAATAGTGTCAACAATAAAAAAAAAGAAAAAGAAAAGAAAGGCTGGGCACCCCTCCTTTTATCTCACAGCAGGGTCCATCCCCTCGGTGAGGGTTCAGACACACAGTGGGCCTCAGTGGAAAACAGAACACAGATCACAGGCGTTATGTCAGCTGACAGAACAGGTTTGAAGGAAAAAACCCTCAATTTGAACACATCAAATTAACAAATGAAAAAGATAGACACTGAGTAATGCCCAGGCAATTTAAAATGAAGGTAAGAAGGCTTGATTTGATTGTATAAAAATCAAACCTCAGTTCTCCAGTTACAGTAGAAAAATGTTCTTCCACTTTCAACCTTCTTACTTGTGAGATCAGTGGGCTGAGGGATACAGGTTATTAAGGGTGAATGCATGGTGTGGGGTTTGCTGGAAACACGTGTGGAGCACTGCAGCCTGGCTTCAGACCCTAACCCTAACCCTAACCCCTCTGCCTCTTCACCCCCTCTCCCTGCCAGGCCTGGGTGAGAGTGCTCATGGTCCCGGTTCCTGTCCTGTCCCCGAGGTTCTGGGGAAGCTTGGGGCACCTGTCCTTCCTGCGCACAGTATTCAATCTGCGCTGTAGGTAAGGGGGATGGGTCTGCACGGGGCATGGTTCTCTCCTTCCCACAGGGCAACCACCAGGCTGCTGAGATGTGCCTTTGGCAGGTTGTTTGGCTGCCAACAACAGGAGACACTGGTCAAGCCTTTGGTTGCAAATCCAAGACCAGGAAGGCGCTCCTGCTCCGAGGAGTCATGGGAGGTAGGGGAGCAAAAGAAGCTTGCAACGCGAGACGTCTGGGACAGTGGAACCTTCCTGCCTGGGCTCATTAGAGCGATCCGGATCCGGGAGATCATGGTTACAAGGCCTTCTAGCAAAGCCCGAGAGTGTTTTTAATTTAAAAAATTTATGTCTCTGAGAACATCTCCTGTCTCGTCTTTGCTGCCTCACCCTCCTCATCTGCGTGGACGGACCGGCAGGGGCCACCTGTCATTTCCCTCGTTGCTTGTCTGCATTATTCATCCCCTGAGCGTCATCTCAGGGTTATTCGGTTACAGGAAGGAGTCATGTTCTGTTCTCTGCCCTCCACTAACCCTTGAGAGCCCAGGGTCGGGCTGTGTACACACATGCTCCTGTGATGATTCGCACCTGCACAGGGCCAAGTGGCCCGTGGCTCTGGAACAAACCGGACAAACCAAACTACGCCTATGGCTGACAAAGGTGGCTTTGTGGTTAATTCCTCTCTCGGGAGAGCCCATGTCCTTGTTGTGAGAGCCTGTTGACCCCTATCTGCTCAAATAAACGGCTTTTCCCATCAGTCAGACTGAAGTGACGGCTCTTCCAATGAGTTCTC